TCATTCTGTATGTTATGCACTCATGACTTATGCAATCTGGGCCTTATGCAGCCCTGACCTCTGTATTCTGAATGTCATAAACTCCTGACCCCTGCATTCTTGCGTTATGCACTCCTGACCCCTGAAGTTTGTGAATTATTTGCTCCTGACCCCTGTATTTTGTGCAATATGTGTTCCTGTTCTTCGCATTATGCAATATGCACTCCTGACCCCTGCATTCTGTAGGTTATGCACTCCTGACCCCTGCATTCTGTAGGTTATACACTCCTGACCCCTGCATTCTGTAGGTTATGCACTCCTGACCCCTGCATTCTGTAGGTTATACACTCCTGACCCCTGCATTCTGTAGGTTATACACTCCTGACCCCTGCATTCTGTAGGTTATACACTCCTGACCCCTGCATTCTGTAGGTTATGCACTCCCGACCCCTGCATTCTGTAGGTTATACACTCCTGACCCCTGCATTCTGTAGGTTATACACTCCCGACCCCTGAATTCTGTAGGTTATGCACTCCTGACCCCTTCATTCTGTAGGTTATGCACTCCTGACCCCTGCATTCTGTAGGTTATGCACTCCTGACCCCTGCATTCTGTAGGTTATACACTCCTGACCCCTGCATTCTGTAGGTTATGCACTCCTGACCCCTGCATTCTGTAGGTTATGCACTCCTGACCCCTGCATTCTGTAGGTTATGCACTCCTGACCCCTGCATTCTGTAGGTTATGCACTCCTGACCCCTTCATTTTGTAGGTTATGCATTCCTGACCCCTGCATTCTGTAGGTTATACACTCTTGACCCCTGCATTCTGTAGGTTATACACTCCTGACCCCTGCATTCTGTATGTTATGCACTCCTGACCCCTGCATTCTGTATGTTATGCACTCCTGACCCCTGCATTCTGTAGGTTATACAGTCCTGGCCTCTTCATTCTGTACATTATGCACTCATGACTTTAGCATGGTCTCAGCACAGCACCGCTGGGGAGGGAGGGGCAGACTATTTTCTTACTGTCTGTCCTTGCCATGTGACATATCACATGACTGGAGTGAGGAAGAAGGAGAATCTGCCTTCATTCCTGGTGGCTGCCATGCTGAGACTGAGGTGTGAACTGCGAGTATACGTGGGGAAGGGAGGTGGGCACCGTTTGCCAACTTTGCCCTGAGCACTGAATGACCTTGTTCTGGGACTGAGTCTCCATGTATCTTTAATGCAATCAGTATTGGGGCTGACATGCCAGGATGGTGATCCTTATTTTCAAAAAGATGACCTTTATTTGAGTCCAATGAGAATGAAAAAAAAAATTGAAGTCACATGGTTAAAATAAATGATTGTGTTAAAGCTTTGTGAATTGAGCCAAATGCCTTTCATGGGGAGAAATCCGCTGTTAGGGTTAATTACATTTTATCTAGTTTGTGTCCAGAACACACAAAGAACAGATCTCATCCATTATTTGGTCCATGTTTCTTATCACAGCCTCAAGAAAATTCATGGAACAAAATGTTTTCTCCAACTGAAATCTAAGAATGACCCATAGACAAGTGGCTTACTCTTTACACATTGATTTATGGAATAGACAATAAGTCAAACGTTCTTGTTCTGGGTTCTTCCTGCCTGGAGGGGTTAACTTGTGAAGCCTCCACCCTCTTTATGAAAATAGATTTGTAGTTTCGTTTCTTCTTCTTTGTTTCCAGAATGGCGTTGGCCGCTCTAGGAGACGAGCTGAGCTGCTCCATCTGCCTGAACCTTTATACAGAGCCGGTGTCACTGAGATGTGGTCACAACTTCTGCCGGGATTGTATTGTGACTGTTCTGGATACACAGAGGGGGTCTGGGGTCTATTCCTGTCCGGAGTGCAGAGAGGAGTATGCAGAGCGCCCTGTGCCAGAGAAGAACAGGAAGTTGTGTAACATTGTGGAGAACTTCAGATCTACTGAACAGAAAGAACAGATCTTCTGTACGTATTGTGTGGATTCTGCAGTGGAAGCCATAAAGACTTGTCTGCAGTGTGAGACTTCTATGTGTGATAAACACCTGGCAGCCCACAATGAGAAAGTGGACCATGTGTTGATGGAACCCACCTCGTCCTTTAATAATAGAAAATGCTCCATCCACAAGGAGCTTCTTAAGTATTTCTGCTCCGAGGATACCATCTGCCTGTGTGCATCCTGCTGTTTGGTGGGGAAACACAGAGGACACAAAGTGGAACTTCTAGAAGAGGCTTTGGAGAAGAAGAAGGAGAAACTAAGAGATGTTTTAGAAAAACTGATTATGAAGAGAGAGACAACTGAGAAGAAAATTCAGAATCTACAGCACCAGAAAAGGAAAGTACAAGAAAAAGATAATGATGAGAAGAAGAGAGTCACTGTCCTTTTTGAGGATTTCAGGAGACAACTGGAGGTCCAGGAACAGAGAGTTCTGAGTGAGATATCCAGGCAGGTAGAGGAGGTCTCTCTGTCGGTCACTGATCTCATCATACAGTTGGAGATAAAGAAGGATGAGTTGTCCAGGAACATTGGTCACATTGAGAAGTTGTGTAAGATGACCGACCCAATAACTGTCCTACAAGATCATAAATCAGATACTGACGATGTCCTTCAAGACCAAGAATCAGACTCAGGTGACCAGAATGTGGAAGAATCTTCTGTTCCTGATATGGATGATTTTATGATGTCTCTTGTGTTGCACAGATCTATAACCAATCTTATCACTAATGTGCAATTAAAAAACAACTTCTGTGTACAGGATGCAACCGATCTGCTACTTGATCAAAAAACTGCCTATGTCTTTGTGGCTTTATCTGATGACCAAAGAACAGCATCCTGCTCTGAAACACAACATACTCGCCCAGACTTACCAGAGAGATTTACAGAGTACCCTCAAGTGATAAGTATGGAGAGTTTTTTTTCCCATGGGAGATATTACTGGGAAGTGGAGGTTGGTGACTGTGGGGATTGGGATGTGGGGGTTTGTTATCCCAGTATAGAGAGAGATGGAGATGACTCTGGTATTGGATATAATAATAAATCCTGGAGTTTTGGTATAACTGAAAATAAATATGTATCTCTACATGACTCTTTGAAAAAGATGGTAAACCTTAAATCCCCTGTGCAGAGATTGGGACTATTTCTGGATTATCAATCTGGCCGTCTATCCTACTACCAGCTGAGTGACCCCATCAGACATCTCCACACCTTCACCACCACCTTCACTGAACCCCTCCATGCTGCTTTCTATCTGAATAATGGAGCTTGGTTGAAGGTGGTATCTCCAGTGTTTTCTATAAAACCATAATTGTTTCTTTTTTTTTTATATAATTATTTTTTACAGTTTTATCATCAATACAAACTTTAACCTCTTCCCGCCCAGATTATTGTCAAATTATGGCTGGGTTTGACATTCATCATTCTAGGTGGATGTCATATGACGTCCCCCTGGAATGTGCCTGGCATGCACCCCATGGGCCGTGCTATTGCACGATCTGTCCCTGGCTGTGCCCATTAGACACAGCCAATGGCTAATCAGTGTACTGGCCCACTGCCGCCACCATGTGATTGTTCACATGACAATTATAAACCATGAATGGCTTCAATCGGCACCATATGATTAGCTGTGGCCAATCACAGCTAATCACAATACACACGTAGTGTATCAATTTCATTTAGAAAAAAATGGTTGCTTATACCAGTGAAATTCACTGGTATGAGCAATCATACTGTTTAAAAAAAATAAAATCCTGATCACTTCCCCAGAGTAGTATGTTACTATGGTAACACTGTAATGCTCTGGTTACAGTGTGTTAAAAATATATATATAATTAAAAAAATGTTTTTAAAGTATTTTTTTTTTTTACATACAGTCACCAGTCAGTGTCATTGATCACTGCCACACTAGTTATATGATGATGCTGTACTGCATTGGTGACTTTATGTAAAAATCAAAATTGTGAAAAAGAAACTTTTATTAATTTCTTCCAAAAAATTATGACAAAAGATTACAACTTCAAAAAACTCGCCATGCCACTTACTAAATACCTTGGGCTGTCTACTTTCCAAAAAGGAGTCATTAGTGGGGTATTTGTACTCTCCTGGTGTTTTGGGGCCTCAAGAAGTGAAATAGGCAGTCAGTAGATCAGGACTGATCAATTTTCAGATTTATACCATAGTTTGTATATTCTATAACTTTCCTACAGACTACATAATAAACACTCATTTGGGTTATTTTCAGCAAAAAAATGGAGCCAAATACAGGTTGGCATAAATTCGTGAAGAAAGAAAGATTATTTATTTGCAAAATGTTATAATAGAAACATACATTATAACATGCCTTTTCAAAATTTTTGGTCATTTTTGTTTATTTAGCAAAAAAAAACCCCAGTAGTGATTAACCCCTTGATGCCAACGTCACACAAATATGCGGCCTCACAGAACTGGGCATTTTTCTCGCAGGACCGCATATTTGTGTACCTGTCTTTGTGCTGGGAGCGCACCGAACAGCGTGCTTTCAGAACAAAGACCTGGGTGTCACTGAGAGCCCCGGGTCCCGATCTAACAATCGGGACCCGAAACTCCAGATTCCAGGTCACATGATCGCTGTGATAGCCTCTGATTGGCTACAGTGATCTGTCACTGCACAGCCTGGCCCCCTTGGTTTTCTCTGAATGGAGGAGAGAGATACATTGTATCTCTCTCTCTCTCTCTCTCCCCTTGCAGAGAGAAAAAAAACAAACTGTATAAAGAAAAAAAAAAAAGATAACTAACTAAATAAATAAATATTAAAGTGTTATTAAACCCTGCATTCACTATATCCGCTCTCCCCGGACCCTGCATTCACTATATCCGCTCTCCCCGGACCCTGCATTCACTATATCTGGTCTCCCCGGACCCTGCATTCACTATATCTGGTCTCCCAGGTCCCCGCATTCACTATATCCAGTCTCCACCGGACCCAGCATTCACTATATCTGGTCTCCCTGAACCCTGCATTCACTATATCTGGTCTCCCCGGACCCTGCATTCACTATATCCGCTCTCCCCGGACCCCGCATTCACTATATCTGGTCTCCCCGGACCCTGCATTCACTATATCTGGTCTCCTCGGACCCTGCATTCACTATATCTGGTCTCCCCGGACCCTGCATTCACTATATCCGCTCTCCCCGGACCCCGCATTCACTATATCCGCTCTCCCCGGACCCCGCATTCACTATATCCGGTCTCCCCGGACCCTGCATTCACTGTATCCGCTCTCCCCGGACCCCGCATTCACTATATCCGCTCTCCCCGGACCCCGCATTCACTATATCTGCTCTCCCCGGACCCTGCATTCACTATATCTGGTCTCTCCGGACCCCGCATTCACTATATCCGCTCTCCCCCCGGACCCTGCATTCACTATATCCGCTCTCCCCGGACCCCACATTCACTATATCCGCTCTCCCCGGACCCCGCATTCACTATATCCGCTCTCCCCAGACCCTGCATTCACTATATCCGCTCTCCCTGGATCCTGCATTCACTATATCCAGTCTCCCCGGACTCCGAATTCCCTATATCTGGTCTCCCTGGACCCTGCATTCACTATATCCGCTCTCCCAGGACCCCGCATTCACTATATCCGCTCTCCCCGGACCCCGCATTCACTATATCCGCTCTCCCCGGACCCCGCATTCACTATATCCGCTCTCCCCGGACCCCGCATTCACTATATTCGCTCTCCCCAGACCCCGCATTCACTATATCCGCTCTCCCTGGATCCTGCATTCACTATATCCACTCTCCCCGGACTCCGAATTCCCTATATCTGGTCTCCCTGGACCCTGCATTCACTATATCCAGTCTCCCCGGACTCCGAATTCCCTATATCTGGTCTCCCAGGACCCTGCATTCACTATATCCGCTCTCCCAGGACCCTGCATTCACTATATCTGGTCTCCCACAGTACACAGAACATGGAAATGCAATTATTTTAGTTAATATAAACTGCTAAATACCTTTTCCCATCAGCCGTATATAGCAGTCTTGTGACTTCTATCAGTGTCCAGTAGAGCACTGGTTAAAGCTTGACCTCTGTCAGGACAGTGCTGATTGGCCCTATGCTGATCACATGCACCCTCCCAAGAAAAAAAACCTCTCTAGCAATACACAAACTGAGCATGTGCATGCCTATGGTTCAGTCTGGAGATAAGTGGTGGTCAGCTTGAAAAAGGGGAGGATCAGAGAAGACAGGATCAAACAGCCTTTTTACACAATGCAGAGGATTAACCCCTTAGGTCCCACGGTGAGTACAACAAGCATGCTTTACTGCAGATATAGACTGATTGTACTGTTGGGGGTTTAGTAACACTTTAAAAAATAAATTAAAAAGCAAAGAAAAAATACCTTTATCAATGTCTGATCTAGTTCATTGCCAGGGTTAGTGTTTGGGTCAAGGTCAAGGCCAAAGGTCAAGGCCAAAGGTCAGAGTCAAAGGTCAGAGTCAAAGTTTTATGCTTTTTTTTGTATTAAATTGGTATCAATGTCAGTGTGTTTTAGGTAAAAAAAAACAAACACAAAATGCGCACTATTGTTTCTGGGCTGTACTCCGGGTACAAACAACAAATAACATCCACATATAAGGTATCGCTGCAATCGTCAGAAGCTGGAGAATTTATTTTGAGTCGTCCTTTGGTGGTAGGCTATGGTAGTAACAAGAAACACACAGCAAAATTTAAAAAAATGTTTTTTTTTACTTATTTGGGCCAGTTTTCCTTTGATAATTAAAAAAAAAATCAGGGAGATATCCATTACCATTTACCACCAAATGAAAGCCCAATTTGTCCTGAAAAAAAAAACGCGGTATAATCCACCTGGATGTACAAAGTAGTTGTGATGATATGTCCGGTTTTCTAACACATGTCAAAGTTGTCAAATTTTACTTAGGCTTTAAGATTTGTTTGACCCTTAGGTGTGAATGGGTTAAATACCTATTTGTGTGAAAAAAATGTCATATGGGTGCAGTGTTGCATGACTGCGAAATTGTTGTTCAAAGTGCAACGGCGCTGAAAGTTGAAAATTTGCCTAGACTCGAAGGGGGTGAAAGTTCCCGGTATGGAAGTGAATAAAGAGGGGAAATCATCTTGGAAAACGTATTCGCTGTGACGAATAAAGGAAGCACAGAATTAGGAACATAAACCATCATGGGCAGCACAGTGGCTAAATAGTTAGCACTTCCGCCTGGCAGCACTAGGGTCGTTGGTTCAAATCCCAGTCATGGCACCACCTGCCTGGAGTTTGCATGTTCTCCCTGTGCCTGTGTGGGTTTCCTCTAGGTACTCTGGTTTCCTCCCACACGCCAAAGACATGCTGGTAGGTGAATTGGATCCTGTCTAAATTGTCCCTAGTATATGAATGAGTTAGGGACCTTAGATTGTACGCCCCTTGAGGGTTAGGGACCTTAGATTGTACGCCCCTTGAGGGTTAGGGACCTTAGATTGTACACCCCTTGAGGGTTAGGGACCTTAGATTGTACGCTCCTTGAGGGTTAGGGACCTTAGATTGTACGCCCCTTGAGGGTTAGGGACTGATGTGAATGTACAATATATATGTAAAGCGCTGCATAAAATTGACGGCGCTATATAAGTACCTACAAATTAAATAAATAAATCATGAGAAATGATTTATGTTCACATCTCCTTTCTGTTTTTTTTTAGGAGTGTTTTTTAGCTGTAAAAACGCTCTAACGCTGAAAAACACAGCAAAACGCGGTAATACACGGCAAAACAGCATTTTTGTACTTTTTTTACCATGTAAATGCATTTTTGTACTTTTTTTTTTTTTAAAAAAAGCCATGCAAAGCAGTATGCAGGAGCTGACAGGAAGGAGAATTGTTTTTTGTTTACAGACAGATCTCCTCCTCGTCAGAGATCCTCGACAATCACTGTTCGCCGGTGAGTAATCACTGGCCGGGACCCGGTGATTGACAGCGGCGCGGGTAGGGCGCACTTGTACGCCCCCTACCAGGAAATGTAAACTCACGTATATATACATGATTTTGCGCACCCATGCCGCCCTGTAGCAGTATTTCTGCTATAGGGCAGATGGGAAGTGGTTAACCTGTTGATATTAATGAAAAAGGCCCACCTTCTTGATGCCAAATGTATGTGACATTTGGCATCAAGGATATGGGCCTTTTTCCAAGGCGCTGAATAAATGTTTTTGCTAAAAGTGCGCACCACAGTGTGCTCCCAGCATGGAGATGGAGCTGTCAGCTAAAGGGTCTTGTAATAAATATTGGTTGGTCCTTATCACATGATCACTTTGATATTTTGTGATTGGCTATCGCAGGTTGAGGATTCTTATTTTCTAAAAGTAGACCATTATAAGAGTCCAATGAGATTTAAAACAAATTAGAAAACTGAGCTCTTAGTATTCCCTCCAGCCCGTGCCCCCTCTCCTGACCTCTCCTTCAAGATCAACAATACAACCATCAGTCCCTCCCCTCATGCCAGGGTACTAGGTGTAATCCTAGACTCACATCTATCTTTCCAGCCCCAAATTCAATCGCTGTCCAAATCTTGTAGACTTCACCTCCACAACATCTCCAAGATACGCCCGTTCCTAACCTCGGAAACCACTAAGCAACTTATTCACTCCCTTGTTATATCTTGCCTTGACTATTGTACCTCCCTCCTCATTGGCCGACCTCATTGCAGGCTATCCCCTCTTCAGTCTATCATGAATTCTGCTGCCAGACTCATCCACCTTATCAACAGTTCCATATCTGCCATCTCTCTCTGCCAATCCCTCCACTGGCCTCCACTCAGTGTCCTCCACCCCCTCTGCCAATCCCTCCACTGGCCCCCATTCAGTGTCCTCTACCCCTCTCTGCCAATCCCTCCACTGGTCTCCACTCAGTGTCCTCCACCCCTCTCTGCCAATCCCTCCACTGGCCCCCATTAGGTGTCCTCCACCCCTCTCTGCCAATCCCTCCACTGGCTTCCCATTCAGTGTCCTCCATCCCCCTCTGCCAATCCCTCTACAGACCCCCATTCAATGTCCTCCATCCTTCTCTGCCAATCCCTCCACTGGCCCCCATTCAGTGTCCTCCCTCCATCTCTGCCAATCCCTTCACTGGCCCCATTCAGTGTCCTCCATCCCTCTCTGCCAATCCCTCCACTGGCCCCCATTCAGTGTCCTCCATCCCTCTCTGCCAATCCCTCCACTGGCACCCACTCAGTGTCCTCCATCCCTCTCTGCCAATCCCTCCACTGGCACCCACTCAGTGTCCTCCATCCCTCTCTGCCAATCCCTCCACTGGCCCGCATTTAGTGTCTTCCATCCCTCTCTGCCAATCCCTCCACTGGCCCCCATTCAGTGTCCTCCATCCCTCTCTGCCAATCCCTCCACAGGCCCCCATTCAGTGTCCTCCATCCCTCTCTGCCAATCCCTCCACTGGCCCCCAATCAGTGTCCTCCACCCCTCTCTGCCAATCCCTCCACTGGCTTCCCATTGCCCAACGAATAAAATCCAAAACATTAACAATAACATATAAAACCATTTATAACTCCGCCCCAAATTACATCACCAATCTTGTCTCCAAATATCACCCAAACAAACCGTCCTCTCCACTCCTCCCACGAACTCCTACTCTCTAGCTCCCTTGTCTCCTCCTCCCATGCTCGTCTCCAGGACTTCTCCAGAGCCTCCCCTATCCTTTGGAACTCTCTACCCCATTAAGTGTCCTCCACCCCTCTCTGCCAATCCCTCCACTGGCTTCCCATTCAGTGTCCTCCATCCCCCTCTGCCAATCCCTCTACAGACCCCCATTCAATGTCCTCCATCCTTCTCTGCCAATCCCTCCACTGGCCCCCATTCAGTGTCCTCCCTCCATCTCTGCCAATCCCTTCACTGGCACCCACTTAGAGTCCTCCATCCCTCTCTGCCAATCCCTCCACTGGCCCCCATTCAGTGTCCTCCCTCCATCTCTGCCAATCCCTTCACTGGCACCCACTTAGAGTCCTCTATCCCTCTCTGCCAATCTCTCCACTGGCCCCATTCAGTGTCCTCCATCCCTCTCTGCCAATCCCTCCACTGGCCCCCATTCAGTGTCCTCCATCCCTCTCTGCCAATCCCTCCACTGGCACCCACTCAGTGTCCTCCATCCCTCTCTGCCAATCCCTCCACTGGCACCCACTCAGTGTCCTCCATCCCTCTCTGCCAATCCCTCCACTGGCCCGCATTTAGTGTCTTCCATCCCTCTCTGCCAATCCCTCCACTGGCCCCCATTCAGTGTCCTCCATCCCTCTCTGCCAATCCCTCCACTGGCCCCCATTCAGTGTCCTCCATCCCTCTCTGCCAATCCCTCCACTGGCCCCCAATCAGTGTCCTCCACCCCTCTCTGCCA